AAGCGCAGTTGTCAAAACCCACAGTGAAATACCTCGGTTATCTAATTATCAAAATGGGAAGGACAACTACCCCCAGAAAGGACACAGACCAAATGTTGTCTGAACTCCTAAGTCTGTAAGCCATTAGGGGGATTTTTTAGGGTTGGTGGGATTTTGCCCAATCTGGATCCCTAATTTTGGACTCACAGCCAAACCTTTATGTGATAAATTACAAGAAAAATTTGAATAGGATGGAGAATGTCAATGAGCTTTTGATAAGTTAAAACGATTGCTCCCGAGCTCCCCTGCATTGGCACTACCTGATCTTGAAAAGCCTTTTGATTTATATGTACATGAGAAGAGGGCATAGCCTTAGGCATGCTCACCCAAAACTTAGGACCGTTAAAAAGAATGGTAGCTTACTTTCCCAAACAACTGGATAGTAGCAAGAGGATGGCCTGCATGCCTAAGGGTAGTAGCAGCCACTACACTAATAAAAGAGGCAGAAAAGCTAACACTGGGACAACCCCTCATGGTTCAGATGTTTCATCAGGTGACTAAGGTTTTAGAAGCTAAAGGCCAGCTGTAGCTGACCATGGGTTGTATGTGCCAATATCAAGCTATGCTCCTTGACATCCCAGACTCTGAGCCCTGCAAGTCTATTACCACAGTGAAAAGAGCAGTTAGTTCATAAATGCATAGAAAATACTAGATATGGTGTATGCTAGCAGCAAGATCTAAAAAAAAAGCGAGCCTCTCCCTAATTTAGAGGAAATATAGTTTGTAAATAGGAGTAGCTTCTTCCATGCGGGTCGAAGGAAACTGGGTATGCAATTGAAATGATAAGAGAGGTAACAGAAACAAAGGCGCTAAGACCTAGCACTTTCACGTAGAAAGCTAAACTTAGAGCACTGACAAGAGCCCTTGAACTGGCAAGGGACAAGAACCTAACAATAGACAGTGATTCTAGGTATACCTTTTATGCTCATGGAACAATCTGGAAGGAAAGAGGGATGCTGAATGCTAATAATAAGGAAATAAAATACAGGAAAGAAGTTAGAAGCCATTAAAACTCCCAAAAAGGTGGCAGTTGTACACTGTTAGGGCATCAGAAAGGAGAGCCAGGGTCAGAGCAGCGCCAAGGGAAATTAAGCTTAGCCTATTTGAAATGATGTATGGTAAGACTTTCCCAGACTCGCAAAAGGGCTACTTCCAGATGTGGGAGCAGAAGCAGCTACTGAGCACATTATAAGCTTAGGCCAAGTAATAACAACCTTTCATAGATACAGTTACTCAATTCAAGCATTCCCCAGTAGTATGGCTGTTTACTCACACAAGCCCAGAGACAGAGTGAACAGGAAGACTTGGAAAACAGGGTCATCTCAGGACCAGTTAAAACCTCTTTGGGTTGGGCCTTACCTAATGCTATTAACAACCCATTGCTCATAAATTACAGGGCGTCACCCCGTGGAGTCCGCATCTGAAGAGCCAGTGGAACCAACATCCACGAATACTGCTGAAATTTGTTCATGTGAGCTCACCACAGACTTGAAGCTACTCTTCCGGAAGACTAAAAGATAAGTACTCTAGTGCCATGAGGCAGCACATAATTATTGGAGTTAAAATAAATACCAGCTATAATATCCTGCCCCATGGTCACCGGAGAAATAAATCTTTTCTGACAATAGGTACAATATCCAGTACCTCTGGACTGCCTTGGTGGGTGTCTCCCTTACAAGAGACTGGTTACAATTACAGATACTTATTAGAGATCATCTGTTTTTCTCTGGGTTTTTCTGGTTAAAGGCTGCATGATCCTTATAGGCCTGGGAAACAGAGAAATTTCTGGCTGCTTTTAAAAAGGAGCAACCTGGCTGGCCTAGAAAGTCGGGCACGACACCTGGTTTTCTGGTTCTGATTCTGCCTAATCTCATTCTGCCCTTTCCTCTCTCCGTTTCAGCCCTGGATGTCCCAGTAGCGCACTGCTGGGACCTATGTCAATCAGATGGGCTCCTTTGTCACGGTATCTGAGATCTCTTATCGCCTCTCAGGGGCCTCTAGGTTTCTAAGAGAAACCTCAGGACATTAGGCTTTAAAGAGGGAATTTGAAGGGGAAATGAGAGTTTATAAACTTCCTTTAGCCCCAGTACCCTTACCCTTGCCAGCCTGCCTGTCAGGGCAGCACTCCAGCAGCCAGACTCACTGCCCCACCTTTTCTTCCTCCAGCTTTTTCCTCCCAAAAAGGGGAGGTCGGGAGGTCCTTCCCTGTGGCTGCCCTGACCAGGACACCTTCCCAACTCCCTACTTCTTCAAATCCTTGTGGGGCCAATCTGTTGGCAAGCCTTTTATCTATCTATTGACCCTAGTATCCGTCACCCTAATGTCGCCCTGAGGGGCCAGGCCCATCAGGCCCAGCACATGCAGAACCATTTTTGGGGCTAAAAATTTGTGGTAATTGCATTTCCACTAACCACCAGAAGAGACCCTTGAGGGGACTGGAAACAGGGGTATAATGTA